TCATACACTTTCCAAAACATAATTTTTTGTGTGAAAACAGTTAAGACACTCACACTCAGACAAACACACCAACATCAGTGTAGATGTCGTAACATAGTCCGAAGTTTGCGTCTTTTTGAAAAGAGAAATCTATTGTCCGAGAAATGAAAAAGTAGCTGGGAATACTCCTGCCAGAATTGTGTCAGCATTACTCAAATAACGATTGTCATGGCAACACTGTTAGGCAGTCAGTTCTAGTGACGGCATCGTCCCTGTGTGCAGTCACAAACGGATGTTTCAAGACCTCGGCGGCTGAGTAACGGTCTTGGGGGTCCACGACCAGGAGGTTCCGGATCAAATCCACGGCAGTGTCAGACAAGGACTCACGAGTGTTTGTAGGGATGGAATAGTTGCCGCTGCAGATCTTGGGGAACATGTCTTGGAAGCAGTCCCGACAATTGCGGACCGTAGTTTGCGCGTGCTGAGCACAGTGGCCGACAAAGGGCTGACAGCCGAAGAGCATTTCATAAATGAGAATTCCAAAGCTCCACATGTCGCAGCGGGTGTCGTAGGGCGCTGTTCTTCTCTGTGACGTGGGTAACAGCAAACCGGCGACCTCTGGTGCCAAGTATTGCGGGCAGCCAACGGCTGACTTCAGGGCAGGCTTGGGTATGTCATCTTTGGAGGGGTTACGTCGAGAAGGGGGTTCACTCGCTACGCCGAAATCACACAGGGCGAGTGGGGTGACCTCCCCTGGGGTGAGGCACAGAATGTTATTTGGCTTAAGGTCTCTGTGCGCCACCCCGTCCCTGTGAAGTGTGTGGAGAGCTCGGGCCACGGCGCCGGTCACTCGTGAAGCCTGGGACTCGCTCAGATACGGCGTTGACGACAACATAGCTCGTAGATCACCACCCGCCATTTTGTCGAACATCAGGAAAAACGTATCTCCTGTCCTGTAGAAATCTACGAAATTCAGGATGTTTTCACAGTTCTTATAACGACGACAGATCTCGATCTCACTCAATACTCTACGGAGTCTTTTCTCCCGACAGTTCCTCATGACTTTGACGGCGTATTCCTTCCCTGATTCCTTGTTTCTGTATGTGGAGACGGAGCCAAAGCACCCCTGGCCCAGCTTTTCTCCCGTAGGCTCGAACAACGGACAGAAAATGTCGCCATTCGTTCGTTCCTTTCTTTGTCTTCGCTTTCGTTTTTTCGAATCCGTAGGGAATACTTTATTTCTTGCACAACCAACGCCCGTGTTGTTCGTGGTTGCAGTAGGAGACATGACGTCACACGAAGCTACATCTGTGTAGGGAGCAGGGAACACAGCGCCAGTACCGGCCTCTGGCGTGATGCGTCGTTTACAGTCTCCGTGATTTTGTGGACGTTTTCGTTTTCTGGAATCGGAAGGTGCTGTTCCAGTGGACGTTATATCCTTATCTGTCTTCGTTGTAGAACGCTCTATTTCTTTGCTTGCTATATCCGCGTTCGATGTATGGAATACACTGGCATTACAGCGTGTGTCTGGGTTTGACGAACAGAACACACTGTCACTGCTGCTAGCTTTATCCGTGTTTGATGAAGAGAACACACTGTCACTGCTGCTAGCTTTATCCTGGTTTGATGAAGAGAACACACTGTCACCACTGTAACTGCCAGAATCCTTAGACTGTTCCGCTGAGTCCTCGAGCTGCCTCTGACCTAACACCAAAGACTCCATGACTGGTGAAGAACCAGATCCCGGCAACATGGTGGGAGACGGTAGACTTGATCCAAGACTGGGACAAACGGCGCCCAAGATGAGGGAAGAAACAGGGCACGGATATACACAGGCCACAGGCGAGCTGCTTGTCGTTTTAACGTCTTGCCAAGATGTCAGGAACTTCAAAGTCCAGCCAAAGTCACTCAACAATGTTTCAGAACACCAAAAAGACTCAAAACGCTCAATATTTAGCAACAGGCAACAGGCATAAAGATGTGCGCTCCACGCTGTCCAGCCTCAAAAGTGACGCTATCTGCAACTGGCTGACCGGTCCAGTCTTTGTGCGGAATAATTTCAATTTTTTTTCCTTTGTCCTAATCCACGTGACTGTTTTATACCCGTTATAATAAGGAGGGCTAGAGGGGAGGAGGGAGGGAGGAGGGAGGAAGGAGGGAGGGAGGAGGGGAGGAGAGATGGTTGGAGGCGAGGGAACTAATCATTTGCCTTTGTGTATTTAAAAAAATTGTACTCCTCCTCTCAGGCCCCGACTATTATGCGAGTAGAGTATTGCGTAATCATTGTTAAAATTTGCTTGTGACACTTTCACACCTCGCCACCCGCCTCTACCCACAGTCTCACTGCCCGGAGCGGTGATGTAATAACGGTGTATTGTCTTAATCCTTAACCCTTTCCCTGTCAGATGTAATAACGGTGTATCGTCTTAATCCTTAACCCTTTCCCCTACAGGCTGGACATCACTGGACACCCAAGGCTCTCGACCAGAACGTGGTTACAGAGCAGGAAAGGAGGTGAAAGGAGAACATCTTAGAGAAGAACAGATTTTGTCGCTGTCAGGTTTTGAATCGTTGACCTATTGAATGAGAGGCGAACACCGTAACTCATGTGTGTGTGTTTTTGTTTTGTTTTTTGGGTTGTTGTTGTTGTTTTTTGTAAAAGTTTTACTGCACTTGCAACATAAATAGGTCATACAAGTGCCGAAGATGAGAGATGTTACAAAAGAGCAACAAACACAAATAGAAGGTGTAGAGGAGGAGAGATCAGGACGATAGATGTTTGATAGGAAAGAAGGAGGAGAGATCAAGACGATAGATGTTTGATAGGAAAGAAGGAGGAGAGATCAGGACGATAGATGTTTGATAGGAAAGAAGGAGGAGAGATCAAGACGATAGATGTTTGATAGGAAAGAAGGAGGAGAGATCAGGACGATAGATGTTTGATAGGAAAGAAGGAGGA